TTTAACCAAAGCTTTCATTATTATTATTATCTCTCTATTTACTTTTATTTACCTTTACTATTATTTACAACCCAAAACCTTTCATTTTTCTTTACTTGACTTTGAAACAATCAAAAGATAGAGAATATTGATTGAACCATTTCACTATGAGATCGACCCTCGACATGTTCAAACTACAATTTTATGATTGGGTTCAATAAGAAAAAAAAATAATTAATTTGTTGGCAATGCGACATGCCATCAGCAGTTGTTAGAGTAACATAGGTGGGAATAGGACTATCTTTTTTATGAAACATACTCATGTACCATCGCCAAAGATTTAGCTATTGAAGGAATAGGAACAACTCTTGTTTAGGACTCTGCTGCCATGGAATCTATTGATTTTGCTCCTATTGTAAATAAGAGAAATACAGTTTAAAAAAAAAACGCAGTTGCAAGAGAAGGCCTACCCCTGGGACTTGAAAGAAAGTGAAGTCGTCCAGTGAAGGAACCATGGGAAAAATTTTGTCTCTTTTGTCAAATTGATCGTTCACTCATGCTTGTTTGTAAGAAAGAAAGAAGAAGAAGTAATTGCCCCTCAATGCGCTGAAGCCTGGATAGATAAGATCCAGTATCACACTTTGGTTTGGCTTGTTGACTCGAGCCAAGAAAGAAAAGGAAGAGATGTTTAATAAGGCCAAGATGAAACAATTGGTGAAAATTCTCTTCTTTAATTAAGTTGATGATGACAAAGAAGACCTTCCATAAGAAGTAAACTAATAAGTATAACCTCCCTACGAGCAACCAAGCCCGATGCCGCAATTAAGAAGATCTATAAGGGTTCATCAACTCATTTATGGGCCAGATATTGGTTATGAAGTATACTTTGAACTCGTCACTAGTGCTTTTCCAGCTTCACAGCTGATCACTCACAAGATGCTTAGTCAGGGTCATTCTTATTGTGCCTTGAACTCGAAGAGACTCTTTAGGAGAACGATTCTCATTCTCTGTTTTGGCTTTCTTCTAGTAGCTCTATTTGGATACCTTAGCGGATTACTTGTTTAAAGCTTTTAATATCTTGTTTTCAATGACTAGATCTTCCACTTCCTTTTTCCATCCATTTACCCTCTCTACCAGGTTGGTTTTTTTCCCCAAAAATTCAATAAGAGAAGTCCCTTCTTGGGATATGCTAAATTTCCTTCATTCCTTCCTTCTTATTTGTGCTTATTCTCCCTTCTATTGTTTTATTATTATTATTATTATTATTTCTTTAACTTCTTCGACTGAAGCTGCTTTCCCATTATTGAGCTAGCTTGCTTTCAACAACCTATTCATCACTTGTAAATTGTAGCCTGAAAGTCTTTTTCTCTTCGACAGATAATGTGGTAAAGGAGAGAAGGAATCTACTAAAGGGGGTTCCCATCTACAAAGAGAGAGTAGACTAACGTAGAGGCAAAGAGCAAACTACTTTGACTCCCATTGCTCTTTTGCTTGCTTGCATAAGCAGATTGGCTTGTCTGTACTGATATGATAACAAGCCTTCCTCTCTCTTTCTCTAACATCATGAATCTCGTCTTAATCAAACTCGACTTAGATAATGAATTTTTATAGTTGATCTCTATATGTTTTCCCCGAGGCAGTCTGGTGTTAATTCAATTTAAGTCTTATTTGTAGTTAGAGAGGGCTTTTTTTTACCTTTCCTTCGGGAGTCAGGTATACCTTGGATCTTGATATCTGGTATTTAAGCCCGATCTAGCCCTGTGGCTTAAGCAAGGGACTTTTTCTTCTATTGCATCAACATCTGGAATCAAAGCCAACCTTTTCTTATCTTTTCACTCTTGAATCAACGATTAGAGGATCTAGCTAAAATAAAAATAGGAGAATTTTGGTCCAGTACAGAATGAATTTCCATATCCAACATATGGAGAGGAAAGGCTGACCCTTTTTTTATGGGTTTGGGGAAGAAATCTGTGACAGAGATCGGTCCTAAAAAGCAAGAAAAACGAAAGCCTACATTCTCCAATTGATTAGTCACTCGAAAAAAGGTAGCAAAGTGAGTTTAGTTTTTAGTTTAAGCCTAAACCCCATTTGAGAAGTTCCATTCACCTTGGGACTCACGGTTCGAACGCTATTCAGACGTTGATCAACCTATCACCCGATCACAGGCTGCTCTATCATTGTCCAATTTTTTGTTGTCTGATCACCCTTTTATGTATCTACTTATTGTATTTTTGCCTCTGCTTCATAGTTCCATAGCATGTTTTTTCCAATGTTTTCAAGGATCAGAAGGAACTGCTACAATGACCACTGCATGCGCTTTATTCTTTTGGATCTTATCTTTGATTGCTTTTTATGTGGTGGCACTTAGACCTAGTTCTTACTATCTAATAAGTGTTTTGTGGATCTCATCGGAAATTTTTAATGCTTCTTGGGGTTTCTTTGGCGATCGTAAAGTCATTGGATGAATGGCCGAGCAGATAGATCGGATCCGAATGTAGCTATTCTGTAGAGATACAGACTCAACCCACCACAAGGTATCATAGCATGTCGGGAATAAGAGGGAACATTTTGGATTTAATCACTCCCTTGGTTTAGAGCTGTGTTGTAGAGTCACTAAGGGTCTAGTTGGTTGAACTGATGAACCACAGGAGCTGGTTAGATGCGTAGGGTAGAATGCTCGTAGTACCTTCTCATTTTATCCAGTCTTTTGTTTGTTTTTCTAGCGAATCGCCTAATAAAAAAAGAGGCAGGCTTGCACACTGAGATTACTAAGATGAGCAGAGGACTCTTTCATTAGGAAAAGGAAGAAGGGACCTAGACGCATGCACTTAAGAGTAGCGAAGGAAAGCAGGTTTGTACCTATTTTTCTAGACCTATTTGGACATACAGTTCTCGCAAAAGATAAAGTTGGTGACTTGTGTAATGGGAAACCTTATATTTCATGTATGTATGAGGAGTCGCATAGCCCTTGATTTATGCATTATTTATCCATTCTTACTTCTTCTTTTTTTATGCTAATTAAATGAGGTCACAACTCTAATATTAGTTTTATTTAGCCAGCACCAACTGTAACACCATCGTGCTCTCCCGACTATAATTTGTCAACATCAACTATAACACCATCGTACTCTTCCGACTATAATTTGTCAACATCAAGAACATTTTTCCTTTCAGTTGGGTGTTAAGAGTTGCTGGAAATGATCCTATGCATATTGGTTTGGAATTACTTGTAATAAAGGGAAGAAAAGGACATCTGCAAAAGAAATGCTACAACTACTTGATAATATTAGCATTCCTTCCTAGACAAAACACATTCGACATGAGCCTATGAGTTGGGGGTTCTATTTGATTTTAATTAGAAAATCAAACCGAATCAAATTGAAATATTAATTTCGATATGGTTTTAAATTTAATTTATTTTTTTCTAGTTTTTTGGATTGGATTCGGTTTGGCTTTTAAATTACTTCATTATGTTAAACCAAAAAACCAATTTTTTTAACATATATATTATATTTATTTTCTATGCAACCCTAAATGGTTTCCTAAAGAATAAAGACCATAAACAGTCGCCTCCCTTAAATGTTCCTAAATTATTGTAAGAAACTGGCTAGATTCTCTTAACAATAAAGATCTTTTATTTGCAACTAATTTACCTTAAATGTTTGAATCTTTTTTTTTTTTTCAAACAAAAGATATCAAATTGTTGTGTTCATCCTTATCCTCAAATGAATTTGTGGCTTACATTTTTTTATTGTTTAGAAAATGAGAAACATGTGAACAAATAAGATTTTACGAGCTGAAGCTCAATTGAGCATTTGAGCTTCCGCTTCTCGACTAAAATGGCCCATTTTGGCCAAACTTTGGACTAAACAAGCCCATGATTCAAGATACAGTGAACCAAACCAGCTCTAAAAAAACAATTCGAAATTTTTTTAAAAAAATCAATTTAAATAGTATAACCCAAAAAAAAAAAAAAAACCAAAAGTTTAGTATTTTAACCGAAAAAATCAAATAAAATTTTGGTTCCTGTCTTTGAAAATTTTAATTAACTGAAATAACACAACCGAATCAAAAACCAAATGCTACCTATAAGCGATAACAATTGGGCCTGAGGCATTGCTGTCGTCTTCGTATATCTGTGTTTCAACAGGGCCTATCATTCCAGGCCCAAAAGAAAACTCGAAACAAATTAAACCTGTTGATCTAATACGGCAACGCCTGCCATAAAGACGGTAAACCTGCCTCGAAACTAACCTTAATCTTGCATCAAGAAAGGTCCCCCAGCTGGAGCCTCTTCTTTGTAACAAAACAACAACAACAATTATAAAATAACCTCCACCAATTGGTATTATGAACAGCTGTCAGTTTCCAGTACATCAGAATAGCATGCTCAATAACAATAAGGTGTCACATATTTTCAACTGCAGATGTGGCTTTGCAACACTGAATCTAATCTTTAATCAAAGTCAAGCAATATAAAGTGTTTTCACAACCTCTACTACGTAGACCAACAATAGCCATCAGCATAGGCATACCAAATTTTCCCGGTATCATATCGTCCGTGGTTTCTATTATCAATAGTCCTACGACAAGGAGAAAATGAAACAACTATGATGCCAGGGATTATTCATATATTCAGGAATCAGGATAAATAACAAGCATTTCCGTCGCATCAAATAAAGCAACAAATTAAATCCATATTTCTAAGTATATATAGCATCCGAAGATGTAAAGCTAAAAAATGCAAAGGCAAAAATCAGAAGCCAGGTAGGATTTTTACCCTCCGGTTTCTTTTGGTTAGACGGGTGCATAGCCCCACTATCAAATATATCCCTCTTACACCTGAGTCCTCCAAAACTAGACACACTAAACCCCCAACTTCCCTTCCAACCAAATAAATTTCCTAAGATTCACAATCTACCATAGCATACCAGAGTTGCATGCTATATATACATCCAACAATAACTGCAGTAATTATTGTTGTTAATAAGCTCCAGTTCAATGTCTATAGCAAGGATCCGTCAGGAAACCCTTCCCAAAACCCTTCTTAGCTCAAATTTTTGTTCTGAGGTAAGCCTTGATGGGTACCTGACATCAAACTTGACTCTCAAATTTCCTTTCTTCCCAGGTTCCTTGGAAATTGGCATTCCTTCATTTGGGACAACCACCTCAACGCCAGGTTTGACAATATCTGTCAGTGTAAGCATGATATTCCTTCCATCTAGGGTAGTCAGGTCAAGGGTTTTACCTGTGAGAGCCTCCAGCAGCGTTATCTCCTGTTTGATTACCAGATCATTACCATCCCTCTCGTAAGTAGCATGTGGTTTTTCATCCACCACAAAAACAACATCCGCAGGAAGAATACCAGGCTCTTGGTTGCCCTTCTCAGGAAATGTGATTTTTGTACCTTTCTTCCAACCAGGTTTTATCTCAATGGTCAGTATCTCTTCAACATTCCGAACCTTACTGCAAAAGAAATGTTCAGATATGAAGTCAGTTAATGGAAAAAGGGAAGGCATGCACTCAAAGTCAAGTCAATGCCAATCTTGATAGTTCTAAAAAAATTCTGCAAAGAATTATTCATTTATCAAGTCAAAAAAGAATAACAGTAAACACGATGGTCTAAAGTCAGCTTAAAAAAATGAAATTAGAAGCACAAAAAACTTGATATAGAAGGCATCCATTTCTCTTGTCATTTCCTATCTACAAAGCGAAATTTCTAATAATGTATGTGCAATAACAGGAGTTGATCTGAAAAAAAAAAAACCTTCAAATTTGGCCAATGACTAATAACATAGACTGGAGAAGGGGAAATTTTTGACACCGTAATGTTCATGATCTTCACAGAGCTTGTGCTGCTTGTACCTATAAGTGGAACACTTCCATCTAGTTTTCAGTTGCAGCATTTCAAGCCTATTCCATAACATAATAAACTAAAGGCCGAAGAATGCATAAGTAGCAAAATCATGTCCACAAAATTTCCCAAAAAGACATCGGCACAAAAATCTATAGCTGCAAAATACTTGATCACAACCATAAACAGAGATGCTTCGAGATATTTTTATTTCAAAATTTTTCCATAAGATCAGAGTAACAACACAGAAACCAATGAAGCATGTTAAGAGATTGCTCCATTCCATGACCCATCAAAGAATGAATATCTACTCGGCTTGATTTGCAAGTTGCTTAACTTCTATTACACTGGAGGAAAGGGGTAACTTTAGCACTGGATAACTCCACAACTCAAACATAGGCCATCAAGGGCACACGCCACCTAGAACCTCAAATCTGCGTAATGCACATTTGCTTTCCATTTCAAACATCAGCATGCGTTCATGTCCAAGAGCCATAGCCAGCAGAAACTCGTAGTTCCAAATGAATATAGCATAATCAAAAGCAAATAAAGAGATTGGCATGGGATGCAACAAGGTGGACTACCTGATTGCATTATTGTAATCCCTCAATGCGCTCCTTAGTCTGTACTGAGGACTTTGATATAGTTCTTCACTACTATATTGTCACCACTCAAAATCTTTGTACCCCTCTATCGCTACAATACCAGACCAGGGACAATCTTCTCACTGTCAACAAACATGAATAAATCCAAGCAAGGAAGAAGGATTCCAACAATATCCACTTTTAATCTCCATATAATTTCTCATTTCTTCATCTACTATGATAGCACTAATTGATGGCATCAAATTAAATGATGAGTTCGCACATTAAAAGAAAAATATTTTAACCATGAGAACCTTACCACAAGAATACAAGCAACCAATAAAATGATTATTTAAAGGTTTCTTGCAACCAATACAAAGAAGCAGATTATCCCTTGCAAAATTTGATGATCTCTGTAAGTGCCTTTACACCAATAACAGAATTATTCAAGAGACAAAATTTATGAAACTACTTCAGAGCTGACCCCTGCTTTAGTTTGAGTATCACTAAAGATGGAGCCAAATTAGGAAAGGCCTATGGTCTAAGGAAAATAGGTTTAGGATTGCAATGCCAAGATATTGAAAGAGACTGAACCAACTAGTGGTCTCATATCATTCAAATGGAAATGTACATTATTCGAACTATGTTTAAAATCTGATAGGAAAAAAACACAATGTTTAACAAGCATCATAATAGAATAACTGAATAGTAAATCCCAAAATTCTAGGAATGTCTCGTAGTTAGTATGGAGAGAGGTAATCAGGAGCCCAGGCAACCACATTCGTGATTGATGTTTCACACCAAGGATAGGACATTAAGGATATAAGGTATGAAATGTCATGGGACCAAATGCACAAAGGATTAAAGTAATCAGCCACCAATATTTTCTTGATGATATATCAAGGTATTAAGCAGGATACCAGGATATGAAAGCTAAAGCCCAAAAAAATAAGTCATATAAAAGCAGAGCTGACTTCAAAATAACTTAGCTCAAGGTTCTATTTAATGAATAACGACCTATTCAGGTTATGGTTTCAACCTTGTTGAAGGTAAATTCAATCTAAGAACTAGGAAACAAATCCACAAATCTATTCCTAGGTTCTTGCTCTATGTTAAGATAACAAAACACAATCAAGAGAAAACATGTTGATCACTCACCACATTCAGCACACAAACCAATATTCACATGGAATGACTAGGTAAAAAAACTCAAACAACCATCAACACCTCAAAACGAAACTTAATTTACGCCAGTTTCATAGCCAAAGCCTTTTTGGAAAATGAAGTCCCAATGGCATAAGGATTAAGGATTAAGGATTAGTGAGCACGGCATCATCAAAAACAAAAGGAGTGGTATATTTTATTGTAGCACAAGCATCAAGTATGAAAGTATTTTACATGATTTCAAAAAAAAAAAAAAAAGTACGAACTGTAAAATGATTCTATTTTATATGCATCCACAGAAAAGTTTGAAACTGAAAATAAACTCCAATGCAGCATTAAATGACCAAAATACTAAACTGAAATGAAATTAAAGAAAAAAGAAAACATCACATACCCAGGACCCTCAAAAATGCTCCTGCAAATTTTCATCTTCTTCACAGCACCTTTATACAACTCCTCCAAACTACAAAGCAGCAAATTCTCAATCGCATTGGCCTTTTTCATGTCTCCTCCATTACCAAAGTAACCGTTATTGCTACTCCCACTACTATTGTTATTAGAAGTATTCCTAAAATGCCCTCTACTATAATTCCCTCTTTCATTTGCACCACCAGCACCACTCTCCGATCCAAACAGTTCCTCGTATATATCCTCCGCATCCCTCGGCTTGAACCTGAAAGAAGGATTCGGGTGCTGCCTCTGAAAATAATGCCTGGATGTCGAAGAAGGAGGCGTTGGCGGCGGAAACTGCCCTGATTTTAAGCCCTCTTCGCCATACAAATCATAGATCTGCCGCTTCTGTGGATCACTAAGGACATCGTAGGCTTCGGAGATTTGTTTGAATTTAGCCTCCGCTTCGGTTCTTTTAGTGGTAGGATTCTTGTCAGGATGCCATATCATCGCTAAACGTTTGTATGATTTTCTCAGATCATCGTCGCTTGCATTTCTGTTTACTTTCAATATGTTATAATAATCTACGCCCATCTCTCTCTCTCTCTGTCTTTCTGCTGCGTTAATCTGTTTATGTAGGTTTTGGAAGGGTAGGCCGGAGATGGAGAAGAGGTGTTGAGGACCGTTGGATTGGAGGGAGAAATATACGGGAATCTTGCTGCGAATCTGACGGTTATGTATCAAAGTCTCACGAAAATATAGAAACATAAATAATTTTCATAATGATTTTGTTTTTTAATAATGTCTTTCAAAGACGTGACAGAAGGAAACAATATCACGTGGGGTCCTCATTTACGCGCTGCTAAGATTTTGGAACGGAAGAGAAGGGGGTTTCATTTTTCTTGGGCCATATTTTGTTTGAGGTAATCCTTGGCCCAGCTGTATGTTGATCAGATTTCGGAAAACCACCCAAGGCCCAATCCCACAATCACATTGCTTGAGAGCCATGAAACACAGAGACGGATACTACCGTATTATAAAAATAACACTAAAAAAAAATTCAATATAACCAATACTAATGTATAATAAATTGAATTCATAAATATAAAAATATTTATATTTATATTTTCTTAATAATAAAATAAATTTGAACATCTAAAAATCAAATCATCTTGATAATTATTACAATGATTGTAAAAGGATTGGTCAAAATTTCTCTCTTTTCTTTTTAATTTAATTATTACTATATATCTCTCTTTTCATTTTTTTATAAAATTAAATAATTTTATAATTTATAAATAATACAATCATATTTTTCCAGAAAAATTACTAAAATATATATATAAATTATAACATTTTTATTTTTATTTAACATATTTCTCATATAATAATATGATAAGTTTATTGAAAAATATATATATATATTGAAGAAGGTTCTATTTAGTTAAATGATCAAGTATTTTAACTCATAAAAAAAATTAAATAATATTTGAACCAAGTTTTTTTAAAAAAAAAAATATAAATTTATTTCTAAAAATCCTACATCTTCTATGCATCTGAACCTATCTACCACGTATTTTGGTTGTGTCCTTCATATTTTCAAATTGATTATTATTATTATTATTATTATTATTATTATTATTATTTAATGTGCCTCTACGTGTAGTGTCCGAATTGTATCTATTTTGGGCACATATACGATTGCATTTTAAAGTATCCATACTTTCTGACTTGAGAATTAACACTTACAATTTAGTCTTTTTGATTTATCAACAAATAGATCATTAAATCGGCGAGATTTTGCAACCTAGCATTTGAACTTAGAGCGTTGAGATTCCCTATGATGGTGGGACATTACCTTCCTTAAACATACCCTTAATCTCTTCTCTTTATGTTATTAGTCTTTTTTTTATTTTTTATCCTAGTTATTTATCTCTTGCTTAACTCCGTTATTAGATTAGGAATATTCTTTGCATCTCGAAAGAGGTTCCTTCAGCAAATCCAATAAGCTTAGGCTTAGATCATGTGTTCTAGAAAACCTTAATTTTTATACTATCAAATATAATTAAATAGTTTTGATGCAGTACATTAGGCTATATTTTTCCAAGCGTGCATTTTGGAGATTTTTAGCAAATCATGGTCAATCTTCTACATGTATTTTTCCAAAGTTTGAATTGTAAAACTTGTAGCAACCAACTTGGTCAAGTTTCAACATTTATTAACATTTTAAAAATTGTTGCTGCCAGACATATTCCAAGGTGGATAGCAACTTCTTAAAAGCCCATGTATATAAAACTCATCTAGTGCGTGTTTTCATCATTCATTCAATCAATCATGAACGAAACTACAAATCTCTTTAGACTACCCATCATATAATGGAACATTGAGTAACACAAGAATCCATTCGGATCACGAACGAAACTACAAATCTCCTTAAACTAGCATTGATGAGCATACCGTATAGTTTTTTTTAAACAATTAATTTTAATCCCATCAACAGGACATAAGAGATCAAATATTTATTTAATAAGAATAGATTATTAGGATTAACTCTATCTAATTAAGGATAACCATGATACTCATGGTATTAAAAAATTAGATCATACTATCTTAACGTCTTATTAAAAGTATTTGTCCATCAAGCGAATAATAGATACTCATGGTATTAAAAAATTAGATCATACTATCTTAACGTCTTATTAAAAGTATTTGTCCATCAAGCGAATAATAGATACTCATGGTATTAAAAAATTAGATCATTTTATTTTTCTTTATATACAATTTGACAAAATTATTGACCATATAAATAATATAAAAACTTAAGGATTTAATTTTTAAATCTCTGAACGTTTAACTATTGTTCATTATCTTTTAAGCGCTTGCATTATGACATCTAAGCCTACTTAGGCTATAGCTATCTTCAAGAGCTAAGTTAGCCATGAGAGGATCCTCCTACACATTTGAAAGACTTGTTTTACATGTACATCAGTCAAAGTGGTCTCCGATCTCATAAAAACAACCTCGCCTACACATCATCAACAAAGACGTCCGACCTCGTCAGTACGAGTTGAGAAATAAATTTGAGCCATCCCTCCTTACTCATCTTGTAGTTTTTTCATTAATAAGTTCATTGTTAAATACAACAATATACTGCAGTGAAGTCTTGATAAAATACTCTATGAATACAAGCCAGACTGTCATGAGAGAACCCAAGACTGGCAATCCATACAAGCCATACAATTTTTTGGCTAAGCATTGGCTAGATGGGATCACAAAAGAAACCTCTAACCTAACTAATGGAAATATATATATATATATATATATATATATATATATATATATATATATATATATATATATATATATATATATATATGAGAGGATAGATTGTGTAATTGTTGGTAATTTGGATGGAAAATGTCACAATTCTTTTTTAAAAAGCCGACATTTTTTTTTCTTTAATTCGAACCAGCCAATTTTTTTTTTTGAATAGGCCCGAAGCGTGGCCTGGTACAACCGAGGCAGTCACGATTCTGCCCGTCCAGCCCATGAACAAGTCTACCTGCTTTGTTCTACGTCACCACGTATAGCTAATCTTAATTTTTTTTATTTGGTCGCTTTTTTCCCATCTTGCAGCTCGAAGGTTTCCTGTTTCTCTATTATTTATGGTGACGTGCTGGATTAGTATTAATGCTAAAATAGTAAAATTACTTCTGAATTTTAAGTCGTAAGTTCTTGAACTTGTTTTTATTGATTTTGAAATTTTTGAATTTTGAATTTTTTTAAATTAACTTTATCATTCAGTTTTTTGTCATTTATCTTTAAAAAATGACAATCACATAAATAATTTCATGATAAAAATCATTGAGTAAGATTTATGTAGGAATTTTTAAAAAAATTTATCATTTTGAGATTATTTTCTATTTTTATAATTTTTTATATTTTTAATATTAAAAAATAAACAAATATAGTTTTCAATCTAAAAAAATTTGAAATTTTTATATGAAATAAATTTCATATCAAAATATCAAGAAATGAATTTTTTTTTTAAAAAAAAAAGAAAAGATGATTGAAAATTATTAAATAGACTAAATCTCAAAAAAAATTAGAAGTTCAAAATCTTCGAAAGCAATAAAACAAATTCAAAAACTCAATTTTTAATAACTTTAAATTTAGAGATAGGTATCGTCTTCTAGTCATATATTAATTGATATTGTCATTATCCTTGGAATTAAATTATCCAATTTCTAGAATCGTTGAATTCTTCAGGATGGACTGCGTACAATCTTTGCTACTATTATGCCCGTAGTGTTAGACTTTTTGTTAATGGTCCTGACAATGGATAATGGGAAAAGAAGAACTTTTCAAAAGAATTAGAATTTGATTAGTTTCTACATTAAAGGAGCTGCAAGACTTTCTTGCAAGCGTCTACGTAACGAAGTTATTTTCACATTCCCATCAAGCTCGCGTAATAGGCTTAGCTGTCTTGTCGTGTCACTGATGTAAAAGTCTAACTTCAGATCCCAACCTTAACCGCATAATATACAATTGGAATGGCAATTTCAAACTAATAAACACTTGAAATTAAGTTGGCGACATTACAAAATACAAATACAAACTCGAAGGGATTTCTGCACAAAGTCAGGATGAAAGCACAGGAAGGAGAAAAAAATAAATCATTTAACAACATGAACCCAGAAAATATACAAGCGAAATGTGACATGAATTTTGGAAACTGAGATCGCCTTGCCGCTGTTATACCGGGCTGCGTCTGGCAACTGTAAGCCAAAGAGAAACTGTACCTCGGATGCATGCTTCATGCAGCCTAATGCAAACCTGATCTGTACCGCTGATCCCAACAATATTCATTTATGTCTCTTGTATGTGGGATAAATTACTTGCATTTTGTGAAACACAAAATCAGGACTCTTCAAATATTGAATATATCAATGATAGAAGGACAGAAACACTATGTGAGCACAAGCAAAAAAAAGATCACGAACCCTCTAATCTAGACAGCAACTGATCGACCAGTAAGCGCATCGTGGAGATGCAACGAACCATCTTTCATCAGGTTAAGGCTCAAACTCTTGAACCTCTCCCTTGAATACTGTCGAGATGCCTTTCTCCAATCAGTTCCAGCTTTCATCATTGCAACAAACTCCTCGTAACTGATACAACCATCCTGAAAATAAATATGCAAATTACTACGAGACAGACGGAGATAGATTTGAAAGTGACTACTTTCAAACTTCTTGTACTGTTTCAAGCTTCTCCAATTTGCATTAGCATTATTTGGATAGTTCTAAATTGCAGAATTTGGAGGTGAAGTTTCTGAAAAATTAATTTTTTAGAAAGAAAGTCATGCTAAGTCATACCTTGTCAGTGTCAACTTCACGCATAATGTCATTCAGCACATCAGTTTCAGTCTCTCCATACTCATCTGCTAATGCCCCTCGTAACTCATCTAATTCAATATATCCACTACCATCCTTATCAAAAAACATGAATGCCCTGCGGAAATGCTCATCATTTTCCATCTTCTGCAAGTGAATTGTGACTGCCACAAACTCTCCATAGTCCAGTACTCCATTCCCATCAACATCCGCCTGAAGATAAAAGAACAATGTTACATTCTACAAATAAGGCTTAAGATTAAACCTGGCAATTATTCAGAAAACCTGAAAATCAATTAGCCATTTCTTTGAATGAGAGGATATTGTAGGTAAGATACATATATGAAAATCAACAGTGAAAGGTAGTGAGAAAACTGTGATATTCAGTTCATCATCAGGTGGTAAACTCCAGACAACCACACCAAACTGCGGATACAAATACTAGTAAGTGGGTGCTTCGTATTTTGGTGGCTTAACCAAAATACCAAACTCACCCTCAGTAGCATGTAGCATTCCAATCATCTCAGAGCAGTACAGAAGAGCTAAAGGGGCATTTATCATGATGAATGGAGTTGTGAGCACTTTAATCATGAACTTTGATCAGAAAAGAGTATTCTTATCATTTCAATTCCAGAAGAGAAAATAAAAAATCTCACCAATTCTAGAAGAGCATGAGAATTGACAGTCTCACCGTTAATATGCTACAAATATATTCAGTGTCATGAAGGATTGAAGCAAACAGTGCTAACAAGCATTGCTTGTGAAAATAAGTATTGTTATGTCTAAGCTAGCTATTGTACACAATGACAAAGCCAAAAGAAAAGGTTAATTATAAAATTTCATATAAAAATATTTTCCATAACAATTTAGCATAGCATGAAAAATATCAAGTATTGAGTTATTCAGATTTTCATAGTGCAGTGGGCTCCAAAGGAAATGTGTGCTATTTAATCCAAAAGCAGGAAAAGTGGTATCAGGACATGATATTCATACAACACCAAATCCAAAGGTGAGCATACATAGATTTGAACCCAGAGAATGATAGACACAAGGATTTACCACTTCCATCAGCATCTTTATCTCTGGTTCGGCCAATTGCGAACCAACCTTCCGAAGGCCAGTCCTCAGTTCATCATATGTTACTTTACCATCATTGTCAGTATCCATCAATGCAAACATATCTCTGATTACTTCAACCTCTTCAACAGATAAGTGTTCCGCAATTACCTACAGCATTTAATTGGACAAAGCATGATCTCAGCAGATTAATTTTGTTCCAAACTATGACAATGATCAGAATCGGAGCTAATAATTACACATAGAGATGCTTACCCGCAATGCTCTCTTCTTAAATCTATTCATCATAGAGAACTGCTTCAGCCTTGTCCTCACAATATCTCCTAACGGGACATTTGGAGCTTTCTTTGCATTTTGCAACCAAGGATGTTCTGTCAACAAATGCAAAGAAAGTAAAAGTTGGTTGGTGCCACAAACACAAGCCATAAAGCAGGATAGATTGAGCATTATAAGAATACACAGTTTTATCGCTTGGAATTAGTACACATCTAACAGCTTATGGAAATATAAGATTTTCAAGATATCCCCCAGTAACAAAATAATTTATCATTAGTTTTTTGGGTCACCCTTTTGAAAGTTCCCATCAAGTAGATATTTCACAATTTTTTCAACATGCTACGTATTCTCCCTGAACAAGTTTTGATTCTAGTATCAGCACTGAACCCAAACTGAAAAGGAAGCAACATGATCCTCAGTTAAATAAGCCGGAAATAGCTCATGTCTCCCTATTTGCAGACAGGTCTCACAACTACAACAAACAGTGGTCATATTCTCTACTAATGCCTTGATTAAAATTTTTTATCAAGTGAGTTACCTTGCCACGTCACCAACCCTTAATCCCCTCAAACACAGAACTTTTATGTACAAAGTGGACATTTTCCTCACCAATCCATTACCACAAAGTTCTAAAATCTTTTCAGTATTTTCAGTGTTGGACAGGAAGTACAATAGCAAAGAGATACTGCATTTTGACCATTGAGTTTGTCCAAAACTAGATCACAAACCTCCATTCATCACAATAGCAAGGAAGACTTATTATTTGCACTCAGAACAAGATTGAAGTGGTACTAAATTGTTGTTTGTTAACTGTCTAGAACTATCTCAAACCAGTGAAGCTCTATAATAAATGTTCTATTATCCTTATAGTAAAATAATATAATCCGGAAAGTGAAGATGAGAAACCTATGCCCCAAAACAATTTCCACTATTTAGGGCTTGAGGCACCATCATTCCCTGACATAATGCCACCAAGAAAAAGAAAAACAAAATCCATTTTAACAAGCTGTCGAGGACATACCAAGAACCTGTTGAGCATTCAAGCGCTTTATGGGATCTGGCTCCAACATCTGTCTAACAAGACTTTTAGCACTCTCTGAAATTTGAGGCCATGGTTCCCTCTTAAAATCAATCACCCCTCTCAAAATTGCAAGAGCAACACCCTGCTCAGTCTCTGCCACAAGAAATTAAAAAATATATATATTAAAAAAAAGGACAAAAATATCAAAATCTCATGCCATCCAATCCCATAATATTCCAATCACCATGCTCATCAAGAATAACAAGGTCAGCTGACAGACGTACCGGCCCAAAATGGAGGAACTCCACATAACAAAATATAAAGAATAACTCCGGCACTCCACACATCAACCTCCGGTCCATAATTTCTCTTCAATACCTCTGGCGCCATATAATATGGACTGCCCACTATCTCTGAAAACCTCTCCCCTGTCAAAAAAAAAAAAAAAAAAAAAAAAAAAAAAGCTCAAACTACACATTCCAGAACAAGTAAATAAATAATCATATAAAATTTTACGAAAAACTTAAAATAATCTCCAGTCTCTCAAACTCAAAATTGGCCAATTAACCAAAAATCATAAGCAAATCAAAACTTTAAACAAAAAATTAAATTTAAACAATGATCCAGAAAGCAAACTCTAAATAACACAAATTTATCCACGCCCAAAGACAAATTTTTCCAGTTAACGTAAACCCACCAAGACTCCAAATCGCAAAATCAAAATTAAACCCCAAAATTTTCTAGTTAACCAGAACCCACCAAGATTCCAAATCTCAAACTCAAAATGAAAATAAACCCAGAAACAGAAACATCCACAACATACCTGGCTTAAAAAACACAGACAAGCCAAAATCAATAGCCTTAAGAGCAGAATTCTCCTTCTTATTAGCAAACAAAAAATTCTCAGGCTTCAAATCTCTATGCATTACCCCATTAGCATGACACATCCTAACAACTTCCCCAATGGTTCTGGCCACATGAGCCGCAGCTCTCTCACTATAGTGCCCTCTAGCCACTATCCTATCGAAAAGCTCACCTCCTTCACACAATTCCATAACCAAATGCACATTTTCATAATCCTCATAAGTAGCTTTCAATTTCACAATATTTGAATGCTCAGGCAGAGTAGACATGATTGCCACTTCTCTCCTAACATCCTCTATGTCCACAGCAGTCCTCAATTTCCTCTTCGAAATTGACTTGCATGCTAATGCTTCTTTGGTCTCTCTGTCCGTACACAGGTATGTGATGCCGAATTCCCCACGACCCAGTTCACGGCCGAGTATGTACTTGTCGGAGATACGAGGACGGTGGCTAAGAGGGACTGAAGACTCTTTTAGGACCCGGATCGGAGCCGGTGAGGATCGGTTGTTGGTGGTGGCTTGGTAGTGGAGATAGTCTTCTGAGTAAGGATTTGACTTTTTGTGGTATTTTGATTTTTTGTTTTTGGTTTGGTGTTCTTTGGTGTCTTCAGTTGTGGTGTCTGGTCTTACACAGGTGTTACAGTTCCCCATACTACTCTCCTTTTTTTGTTGCTCGAAAAGAAAAGAGATGGAGGGAAACGGTGTGTTGTTGTGGTGGTGTTGGAGGAGGAGGAGAAGGAGGAGAGGTGGTGGTGTGGTGGTCCGGTGGGAGAAGGGGGAGAGAAAACGCGGGGTTCAGTTGAGGAAAAAAGGTCTTTTTTGAAAAATCTAAAGCAAATATCCTTTATGGTTAATCACACCATAATATATTCGTATTTTATTATTACCAAGTACATTATGTATTATTAATCAATACGAGATAGTGCTTAGTTTTTTGTTTTTTCTAAAAAAAGAAAAATGGGTGTCCATAAGCTAATCGTATTTTTTAGAGCAAAAGTCACTGGTTTTTTTTTTTTCCTATTTTAAAAGCATATTTCTTACATATACTTGACTTGGTGTACTTAAAAAATTCAAAATTTCTCTGGATATGAATTTAAAATTTAAATTTAGAAAATTAATGAAGAAGGAAAATCTTTTTAACTACTAAACACATGAAATTAAAATTAATGCTAAATAGATATATGTATGTTACCTCATTAATGAGTCAACGACTAAACTCAAAACTAATCTCAAATTACGTGAATTTTTATTATTATTATTATTATTATAGGAATCGATTAAGTATTCTCCTTGTGACCCAACCATTTAGACAACATTAAATTATCATAACAAAATAACATTTTTCTTGTAACGTTTTCTTTCGTTCACAAAGTAGATTTTGATAGCATAGATGTACATTTGACCAAACTAAACTCGTGGTTCACTCACATGAGTCAAGTCACAAAATCCACAAGGTATTGGGGGAAAAAAATTGCAATTAACAAATCAAATAGAAGTGACAAACTGACAAAAGAAACTGATTCTTGCTTCTTCTAAGGCTGGGATTGGAATCAGGGATAATCATTTTTGTATAAATTTGGTGTTTCGGTTTTGGAATTCCACAATTATTTACCAAACACTTGCATAACTGAGTCCAAACTTTTGTTATTGTGAGTTCTTTCACGGGAAAGAATGGAATGGATATGCCTGAGCCGTCGATGTTGCTTACTTCTGTTTAATAGGATTACATGTAGGGTTGAGATGTTCCTGGCACAGAGTTGTTGAAGTAGGTAAACAGTTTGAGAACATACGGTGGCTACAGTTGACCAAGACCCAACCAAAATTTGTTAATAAAAAAAATTAAATTTTAATTTCCAAATCCCAGTTTTGAACCCATCCAGGTTATATGATAAGCCGCTCGTTCCAAACACCAGAGAGCTGAACGAGTGCATTGTGAAGCCAAGGGCATTCGTCTCATTCCTTGGGGTGAGTAATGTATGTTTTTTTTTTTTTTTTTTTTTTCCACCCCTTCTTCGTATCTCTATTTTATATTGAAGATATGATTAATCATATTCGAACAAAAAATAATAAAATTTAATTTTTTTTAAATAAGTATGATTTTAAAATTAAAATTCAATACATTATAAAAAAAAAAATTATCTCGAAAACCAATTTAATTACTATTGAACTAATAACTTATTGATTGCTCTTACTAAACTCTAGCAATTAGGTTTTGTTTAAGTTTTTGTTTCAAATCATTATCAACTTCTAAAATCTTTGGAATATCCAAAATATTTGTAATTGCATGGATATTCAGATTAGAAGAAGAAAAGGGAGAAATTATTGAAGAGAATATATATATATACTTTAATTAGCTTTCTTTGGAATATTCATGATTAACCCAAGTGCCTTCAAACGTTGAAACTGTGATATGTTTTTTTTTTTCGTATATGCTTTCTTCTTTTAAGTAGTAATGTATGTTTATTTTTACGGCTTACGGCTCATTATTTATCGTCCCCAATTGAGTGAAAAATAAAAAATGATGTGAAATCAGTTTCCTTATTCTAGTGGAATAATAGGGTATTGGGTTAGTTGCAAGAATAACCCCTCAAATCCGTAAAAAGTCATATTATAGTTGCAAGAATAAACCTGGTGGCAAGTATTAACAACTCCTCAATTGAGTCCCTTTCATTTCCCAAACAAAGAAAAATAGTTTATTTTCTCTTCACAATTTGAACTTGATAAGAGAAAGAGCCAAGCATAACTTAATCCTTGTAGTTTAAAGGAACTAATCAATTAATCCTTATAGTTTATATATATATATATATATATATATATAAACCTATTTATTTAATCCTTGTAATATGTTGATAAACTATAGGGATTAATTTATAATTAACTGTAAGATAAAGGATGGAGTAGAGGGAGACCCGGTCAAGATGAGGAAACTCCAAAGTCCTCCGGAAGCAGCAGCGCAAAGGAAGAACGTAGAAACAAAAAAGTCATCCTGAAGCAGCTTTCAGTCGCATAATACCATCCCCTGTTACACATGGAAAATATTAAGATTCTATGATCAAAGTCAACAAAAATGATTAGACTTGTTTGCTCAAAAACTAGTGCCATGATCATACAAGCTAAGTCTCTCTTCTTCTTTTTTCCCCTTTAAACCCCACCTCTCCATCTTTAACCAATCAATGCACCATGCTTCTTGTTTAAATTTGATTAAACAAGTGTTCTACTAGCTGTAGAGTTAATTATTTAAAATGGTGGTTATCATCCAACTTTTAATGCTTTGCTTATGGTAAATGGCTTCCAAGTCAAGATTATTTGAAGATCAATTACAAGGAAGGACGACAGCAATAACCATGAGCACCATCATAATTAAATGAGATTTGTTCTCCGAACAATCAAAGCAATTATCCATGATGTCTTTTAATGCTCTCAAGCATTTTTATTTGCAATCAATATGTAGAGTTTCTTCCATTCTGCAAGTACTTGTATCCCCCCCCCCCCCCCCCCCGCCTCTCTTTTTGAAGGCAGATGTGTAAGATATATATAATTTTCAGGCCATTTATTATTATTTAGAGTGCATTTGTTATCATTTTTTTACTTTGGTTTTTTTTTTTTTTTTACAAAAACAAACTGTTTTGTATTTCATATTGTGGATTTTTTAAAACTACTTATCTTTTTAGCAAAAATATATAAAGAAAAAAATTATGATATAGACTTAATTTAATATATATATATATATATATATATATATATATATATATATATATTATTAATTAAAAAATATAAAAATAATAATATTAGGTAATTTAAGTTTGATGATTAAATGATGATATTATTGCAACATTATGCATGACAATGACGATAGTGGTGACAATAGTGGTGACAACATTGTGATGATTGATATGATGCTAAAATTAATCATAAGCCTTATAGTAACATTGAATTTATGGTGATTGTTATTTTATTGATAAATAATTATGATTATAGTGGACGATAACGATATGAAAAGAGTGATTTTATTAATATGACAAGTAACAAAAATAGTCATAATATATTTGCAAAGCTCATGAAGATAATAGCAATAGTATTGGTGAAATTAATTATAATTGTGGTAATGTTAAAGGAAGTGATAACCGTGAAGAAGTAAAATAAAAGAGGTGGTCGTGTTAATCATGATAGTGGTCTTTGTCGTAATGATGATAATAGGGTGATATTGGTGGTCGTTATGGTGGCAATATTGATAACATGATATCCTATAAATAAATAAAAACTAAAAACGCTTTTTTGTTGTTTTCAAAAACCTATTTTAATTTTTAAAACTATTTAATGAGAAAAGAAAAACATAACGAAACAACCAAAAATGTTTTTTTCTTTTTTACAAAAAAACTACAATGATAACAAACAACATCTTATGAAATTTAATTGTTTAGGTTGATGATTGTTGGAGTCTCTATGTGTGTGTGTATTTACCAAACAAAATCAAAACCATGAAAAATTTTATTAATTAAATTAAAATTGTTATAAGAAAGTAATAATCTTGCCTAACTTCAATATTAGACAGGATAAGGAGGCCTAACCTCAATATCATCAATACAAGTCGTGTTGTATCCGATAAGTATAAAAAACAAATTTATCATGCTTGCCAACAATTTTAATATCCAAAGGTAACTCTTCATAATCAAGAAACTTACAATTTTCTTCATGTCCATATGTTAGGTTTGCCAATTTATCTTCTACCACATTAGATGTGCAAACTCATGCATTTCTTTTAATACTTAGCATTTTCAAATTCAATAAGTATACTACCATGGTATACCGACCATACTAATCGCTAATAAAGAATATGATTCCACCCATACCAAAGATAAAGACAATTCCTTATAAAAAGTAGATAATCCCTTAGAGCAAGAATCTCTTCTTTCATGCTAGTCCCTTACCATAAAAGTTAGAAAACCAAGCAATAATATGATCACTACTATTCGAAATTATTCTTCTACTAGTACATCTAAAGTTGAACTGTTTGTATTCAATCCGAAAGTACTATTAGGAAGGGTGTTCTATTTTAACTATAACCCTCTATTAAGTTTATTGGAATGATGGAAAGGTTCGGGGCTTGTAATTTATAGGTTGCCAAAAAATTTATTGGTTTTTTAGACTCGTAGATTAAGCACATATCTACTAGTCTCCATTGTGTTTGTTTAATCACTAATTCTATAGATATAGTTACATATATCGTCAAATTGAGCTTTACACATGCTCTTCCAAATTTTCTATAAGATTAAGAATAAAATTCATACTTGAAAAATACCTATCTAAGTATTAGTGGAACACATCCATGTTGAAGGTGATCAGTTGATGAATCGTACTTAGTATTTCTATCAAACATTCTTGCAAAATGATCCTAGACTTGTATAGCAACCTCTAACCATAAAAATAAAATGATGAAATGATTCCTCTTGATTATTCATATAATAAAGGCACCTAGAAATCACATAGATCCGATCTAGGAACCCGAAGTCAACCGACACGGCTCGATGCAATTGCTTCCAAATAAAACAGACCTACCTTATAAGGGATATAAGGCGACCACACCTTTTTAGATCAAGAAACTTATGGGTTTCATTATTTTGTATCCCTCCAAAAGCTTTGGTTTTAAAATT